TCTCTCATTGTTTTTCTTCCTCTCTGGTTTCGTCTTGTTTCATTTTTCCCTCCCTTCCCCTCTATGATCCTCTGTCAAATTCCTCATATCGGTGAGATCATATGTAATTGTCTTTCTCTGGTTGACTTATTTCACATAGCATAATACCCTCTAGTTCCATCCACATTATTGCAAATGGCAAGATTTCATTTTTTGATGGCTGCATAATATTCCTGTGTGTGTGTGTGTGTGTGTGTGTGTGTGTATGTGTGTGTGTGTGTATGTGACATCTTCTTTATCCATTCATCTTTTGATGGACATCTAGGCTCTTTCCATAGTTTGGCTATTGTGGACACTGCTGCTATCAACATCAGGGTAGAGGTGCCCCTTCGGATCACTACATTTGTATCTTTGGGGTAAATACCCAGTAGTACAATTGCTGGGTCATAGGGTAGCTCTATTTTCAACTAGGTACAAAGGATTTAAATAGACATTTCTCCAAAGAATATATAAAAATAGACAATAAGTATATGGAAAGATGCTTAACATCATATTCATCAAGGAAATGCAAATCAAACTCAGTGAGATACTTCACACCCACGGGAATGGCTCGAATAAAAAAGATGGGCAGGGCACCTGGGTGGCTCAGTCAGTTGAGCATCCTATTCTTGGTTTCGGCTGGGGACATGTGAAATTAAGCCCCACGTCAGGCTCCGTGCTCAGCACAGAGTCTGCTGGAGATTCTCTCTCCCTCACCTTCTGCCTCTCCCACTCATGCTCTCTCTCTCCCTCTCTCTCTAAAATAAACAAATCTTTTAAAAAAATTTTTTAAAAACATGGACAACATAGGGTGCCTGGCTGGCTCAGTCAGAAAAGCATGCTACTCTTGATCTCGGGTTGTGAGTTCAAGCCCCACATTGGATTTAGAGATTACTTAAATAAATTAAAAAACTTAAAAAAAAAAAAAAGGATGGACAATAAAAAGTGTTGGTGAGGATGTAGAGAAATTCAGACCTTCAAATATTGCTGATGGGAATATAAAATGGTGCAGCCACTTTGAGAAACAGCTTGGTAGTTCCTCAGAAAGTAAACTTAGAGTTAACATATGATCCAGCAATTCTACTAATAAGTATATACCCAAGAGAACCGAAAATATATAGTCACACAAAAACTTGTACATAATGTTCATAGCAGCGCTATTCGTATTAGCCAAAAAGTCAAAAACAACCCAAATGTCCATCAACTAATAAATGGGTAAAGAAAATGCAGTATGGCCATACAGTAAAATATTACTCAGTCACATAAAGGAATGAAGTGGTGATACATACATGCTACAATATTGGATGAATTTCAAAAACATTATGCTAAATGAAAGGAGTCAGACATAAAAGGCCACAAGTTGTACGATTCCATTTATATGAAATGTCTACAATAGTCAAACCCATAGAGACAGAAAATAGACTGGTGGTTTATTTATCCAGGGGCTGGAGAGATGTGGGGAGGAATGGGGAGTAGCTGCTAATGGGCCCGGGCTTGCTTTTACGGGTGGTAAAAAGGTTCTGGAATTAGATAGTGATGAAGGTGTACAATCTTATAAATATACTAAAAACCCCTGAATCATAAAAGGGTAAATTTTTTAGTATGTAAGTTATATCTCAATTTTTAAAAAAATCAATGTCCATAGTTTTCAAAATGAAATGTTTCATTATTATCAAGTTATAACTATCTAAATAGCTAGCTGGCCATGCCTTCCAGTGAACCAGGAGCCAACTGTCAATTGTGTTTTACCCGAATTTGCATTATGAAGGGGTTTTGCTAAATGTTATCATTCCTATTTTATGGAGATGAACTTCTTCCTGTTGCAACTGGTTCTGCTAAGTATTTTCCATCTTTGAAAGTTTCTTCATCTCCAATTTGTTCCCAATCCAAGGTGGGTTTCAAAACCACCTTATGCTCCTTATTGGATTTGTTTGCAAACCAAGAATAACTAGGTTAAAAATAAAGGTCTAGGGGAGTAAGTTGGAGGGGGAGACAAACCATGAGAGACGATGGACTCTGAAAAACAAACTGAGGGTTCTAGAGGGGAGGAGGGTGGGGGGATGGGTTAGCCTGGTGATGGGTATTAAAGAGGGCACATTCTGCATGGAGCACTGGGTGTTATGCACAAACAATGAATCATGGAACACTACATCAAGAACTAATGATGTAATGTATGGTGATTAACATAACAATAAAAATTTTAAAAAATAAATAAATAAATGTCTAAGGGTACTCCTAAGAGAAATTCATAGGTATCAGTATGGAAACATTATACTGTCTACTTTGTGTGTTCAAAGGTCTATTTTGCTTGCTTCCTGGTTGCCTGAAACTGAGTCTGAAAACCAAGATATTATCATCACTTAAATAAATTCTATCTGCTTCTGAATGTTCAAAGAAAAAAGGACCACATAATATGCCTGAATTTCTAGACAATGTTTATGATGATATGTGGTTCTTTCTTAAGGATATAGGCTTATCCACATTCCTTACAGAAATATTTCATTCAAAGAGAAACTTAAGCAATTGTGAGTGACTTAATAAGGCAGATGATATATGTCTTCAAATATTTCTTTAGATTTATACAATTTTTAAATGATACTTACTATATTTCATGTTGTTCCAAGCAGATATAAATTTAGTTTTTAGCTTGTCAACTTCATCTGTTCCTGTGGCCTCCATATTCAAATTCTAAAGAAAAAGCCATAACTTGATTGCATTCTTCTGTAAAGTTAAATCTTTAGTACTAAAAGAAAAAAAATTAAAGAAAAATAAGTAATGAGTATATATTATATGGTACAATACTGCTAAAGTTTTACTTATGATTAAGTACAATTTGAACTGCAAATGAGCAAACCAATTTCTCATTTTACATAACAGAATATAATATATTCTATAAATATTTTAATTACAAAAAACATTAAATACCAAATATACAATAAAAATTATCACACAAAACCAAACAATAATCTCCTCCAAGTACTCACAATTAAGAACAATAAATTAGGGCGCCTGGGTGGCTCAGTTGGTTGAGTGACTGCCTTCAGTTCAGGTCATGATCCTGGAGTCCCAGGATCGAGTCCCACATCCAGCTCCCTGCTCAGCGGGGAGTCTGCTTTTCCCTCTGACCCTCCTCCCTCTCATGCTCTCTCTCTCTCATTCTCTCTCTCTCAAATAAATAAAATCTTAAAAAAAAAAAACAATAAATTAGCTTAGTGAAACAACTCCACTTTGGTACTTGTCAGACTATTCAAGATTTGTTTTATTTGTAATGAGAGAAAGTGGTTTTATTTTTTTTAAAGGTTTTATTTATTTATTTGGCAGAGAGAGAGCAGGAGAGCGACAAACAGGCCCCTGCCGAGCAGGGAGCCCGACGTGGGGCCAATCCCAGGACTCTGGGATCATGACCCGAGCCCAAGGCAGTCGCTCAACCAACTGAGTCACCCAGGCGCCCCGAGAGAAGGTGGTTTAAATCTTATAAGAAATGACAACTATCGGGTGCCTAGGTGGCTCGGTTGGTTGAGCGTCTGTCTTCAGCTCGGGTTGTAGTCCCCGGGTCCTGGGATCGAGTCCGCACTGGGCTCCCTGCTCAGCAGGGAGTCTGTTTCTCCCTCTCCTTCTACTTCTCCCCCTGCTTGTGCACTCTCTCTCTCGTAAAAATAAATAAATAAAATCTTAAAAAAAAAAAAAAAAAGAAATGACAACTATCTTTAGAATGGAGGATTCCACTTACACTGATTAAGTCACTACTTTCATATAAAACCTAATTGTCAGGATGCCTGGGTGGCTCAGTCTGTTAAAGCGACTGCCTTCCGCTCAGGTCATGATCCCAGGGTTCTGGGATTGACCCTTATGTCCAGCTTTCTGCTCAGCGGGGAGCTTGCTTCTCCCTCTCCCTCTGCCTGCCGCTCCCCCTGCTTGTGCTCTCTCTCTCTGACAAATAAATAAATCTTTTAAAAAAAAACAAAACCTGTTTTGTTTTTTAAGGCATTTCCTACATTTCCTCCCTATCTCAATACTGTAGCATCTTTTAAAAATAGAATGGCTTGAGGCACCTGGGTGGCTCAGTCGTTAAGCGTCTGCCTTCGGCTCAGGTCATGATCCCAGGGTCCTGGGATAGAGCCCCACATCGGGCTCCCTGCTCTGCAGGAAGCCTGCTTCTCCCTCTCCCACTTCCCCTGCTTGTGTTATCTTTAAAAAAAAAAAAAAAAAATAGAATGGCTTAGGGGCACGTGGGTAGCTCAGTCAGTTAGGCATGGGACTCTTGATTTCAGCTCCGGCCATGATCTCCGGGTCCTGAGAGCGAGCCCCACGTGGGACTTTGCACTCAGTGGAGAGTCTGCTGGAGATTTCTCTCTCTTTCTCTCTCCCACTACCCCTCCACTTCCCACTCCCCCGCTCGGCTCACACATGCAGTCTCTCTCTCTCTCTCAAATAAATAAATCTTATAAAAAAAGATAGAATGGCTTAAATCTACAACAGAAGATGTTTTCTTACTTTAAAAAAAAAATAAATGTAGCTCACAGATATTTGTTTTATAACTGACTTGAGGGAAAATTGAGATGTGCAATATAATCTGAAAAAGGAACAAATTATACCTTAAAATGCTTGTGCTTATTTGCAATAATTCAGATAGTTTACTTATCAAGAAAAGAATGCTACACAGAAAAAAAAAGAACGCTGCACAGAACACTGCCCTCTTAGGGTTATAAATATATACTCAAAAGTATTGATACATTTATTTCTCTAACAATAGACATTCCATTTTATAATATGTACTAAAAGCTACTAATGATACAGTACAGTTGAGGCAGGAGAAAGCATGGTCCATTGGAAAAATTTTAAAAATCAATATAACTAGAGCACAAAAAATCCAAAAAGGGGGCTTGAGATGTGGCTATAGGTTTGACATGGGCCAGAGCACACACGGCCTTGTACACCATGCTAAGAATCTTGTTGTTTATCCTAAGAATAATTGGTTTCAAACAGGAATATTAGAATCTGATTCTGTGGGTCTGACTCCCAGAGCAGCACAAAGAATAGATTGCAAAGGAAAAGAGTACATGATTATAGAGTTTACCAGTACTTTACAGGACTAGAAGAGAGATGATAATAGCTTGGAATGGAGCAACAGAGAGGGAGATAAATAGAAATTATAAGGAAATGTGTCAAAAATTCAATGTCTTGGTGATTAAATGAATATAGAAGGCAAGAAAGATAGATATGCCAAAGATACACCCATGTTCCTGGCTTGTGAAACTAAATAAAAGGTGCCAACAATTGAAATAGGGAGCATCAGAAGAGATTCAGGTTAGAGGAGGAAGATCATGAATTTAATTTATATATAGTTTGAGATGTCTCTGAGAGATATATTAAAGAATCATCCATTTATTTAATTATTCAATAAGTTATTGCCAGGCACTGTTCAAGGCAATGCAGATACAGCTTAGGACAAAAGCAGTGAAATACTTCCACTCATGAAGCTTACATTCTAGATATATTCTAGAGAGGCCAACTAGGCAGTTGGATATATAGATCTGGAGCTTAAAGGTGAGGTCTGAGTGGGAGCTATTAATTTGAGAACTACTGATGTATACATGAGAATTAGAGCTACAAACATGTTCCTCAAGGACTTTGCCTTATGTTTATACCCTCAGCCTTGAGACTATTCAAGGCCCTTCAAGAAATTACATCTGCCATTTTACTTAGCTTCCTCTCTTGCCACTCCCTCACTGCACCATTCACTGAAGCCAATTGTTTTTTTTAAGATTTTATTTACTTATTTGACAGAGAGAGACACAGCGAGAGAGGGAACACAAGCAGGGGGCGCAGGAGAGGGAGAAGCAGGCTCTCCGTGGAGCAGGGAACCCGACGCGGGACTCGACCCCAGGACCCTGGGACCATGACCTGAGCCAAAGGCAGACGCTTAACGACTGAGCCACCTAGGCGCCCTCACTGAAGCCATTTTTAATATTAATATTAAAGCTTCCTAAACTGGACATGCTTCCATGTCTTTGCATGTGCCGTTCCCTCAACCTAGAAGGCCTTCCTACTCACTCTCACTTTTTGACAACTTATTATCACGAGTCTCTAAGACCTAGCTTAAGTTTCACCTCCTCTGGTCAGACTTGTAAGATTTCTACCCACCTCCATACCTCAAACTAAACCAGATGTCCCGCTCTTAACTCCCATAGGATCCCATGTCCTCCTCTATCATGGCGTTCATCACACTGTACTCTAATTACTTCTTACCTCTTACACTAGATGGTTAACTTTTTGAGTGTCCTTGAGTTCTGCCTGGCATGGGATTAGTTCTCAAAATATGTTTATTAAATGAATCAGTGAATAGATAAATCAATAAGGTATATCACTAGTAGCACTTAAAAGCTGTAAAACTCTATCAATTGGAAATTTTGTCACTGACAACTAGAAATTTTCCTCCAGAAAATTGCAAATTTAACAAAATTTGGAGAAGTACGGAGAAAGGCTTATAAAATGTGCATCCACATGGGCGCCTGGGTGGCTCAGTCGTTAAGCGTCTGCCTTCGGCTCAGGTCATGATCCCAGGGTCCTGGGATCAAGTCCCACATCGGGCTCCCTGCTCAGCAGGAAGCCTGCTTCTCCCTCTCCCACTCCCCCTGCTTGTGTTCCTGCTCTCGCTGTCTCTCTCTGTCCAATAAATAAATAAAATCTTTAAAAAAAAAAAATGTGCATCCACATGATTGATTACATATCCATTAAAAATGTCTCCAAAGGGGTCCCTGGGCGGCTCAGTTGGTTAAGTGCCTCACTCTTGATTTCAGCTCAGGTCATGATCTTGGAGTCATTAGATCGAGCCCCACATCAGGCTCCATGCTCATCAGAGTCTGCTTGAGATTTTTCTCTCTCCCACTTCTGCTCCTCCCCCTGCTGTGTGCACTTGCTCTCTCTTGCTCTCTCTCTAATAAATAAATGGGTTATTTTAAAGATTTGATTTATTTATTTGTCAGAGAGAGACAGAGCACAAGTAGGGGGAGTGGCAGACAGAGGGAGAAGCAGGCTGCCCCCTGAGCAAGCAGCCCAGTGAGGGACTCAATCCCAGGACCCTGGGATCATGACCTGAGCCAAAGGCAGATGCTTAACCAACTGAGCCACCCAGGCATCCCAATAAATAAATGTTTTTTAAAAAATGTCTCCAGGGGAATCTGGGTGGCTCGGTCGGTTAAGCATCTGCCTTTGGCTCAGATCATGATCTCCAAGTCCTGGGATCAAGCCCTGCATCAGGCTCCCTGCTCAGAGGGGAGTCTGCTTCTTTCTCTCCCTCTGCCCCTTCCCCCTGCTTGTGCTCGCTCTTTCTCTCTCTCAAATAAATAAAATCTTTCTAAAACATACTTAATTACAAATAAATACAGTCTCCAGAAAGTCTGTGATAATGGGGAAACACTGGAGAATCTAAAACTTTATGCATCGTATGATACTAGCTGGAAAAGTAGCAGGGGAAGAGTTAGAAAGAAATCAAAAATTGACAAGTTTCTCTGGATGTAAAATTGTGTGTGGTTATTTTTATACCACTATTGCCCACCTCTTCCAAATATTATACAGGGGCACCTGGGTGGCTCAGTCGTTGAGCATCTGCCTTCGGCTCGGGTCGTGATCCCGGGATCCTGGGATCGAGCCCCGCATCGGGCTCCTGCTTGGCGGGAAGCCTGCTTCTCCCTCTCCCATTCCCCCTGCTTGTGTTCCCTCTCTTGCTGTGTCTCTCTCTGT